CGGAGACAGGAGGCTGAACGGGCCCCTCGGACCCTCCAGCGGAGACAGGAGGCTGAACGGGCCCCTTGGACCCTCCAGCGGAGGCCAAAACAACGCCAACAGGCATGAAGTCCTTCGGCCGACATGAGGACAACTGGCGCTGCACTGAGCACTGACTCTGCCCAGGCAATGCGAACATGGTGCAGTTCTTAGGGGGCTGCTTAAACTTCAGGGGTCCAGAATCAGCTGGTGACTGAGACCTAGCCTCTGGGGAAGCCCTGGAGTGGCAAACTGTGCCAACGGCGGCTAAACCATGGAAAGTACCCTGAGTAGAAATCCAGTTACCTCTCTGCATGGAGTGAATGAGCAAAACTGGCGACACAGGAGACTGAGCGGAAAGTGGCTGCTGGACAGCTAACTGAGTTACTGGAGACACGGGTGAGAGCGGGAGCTGAGCTGCTGGAGACACGGGTGAGAGTGGGAGCTGAGCTACTGACGGTGGTGAAGTAGATAACTGCACGGGAGACTGAACTGAGGGCGTCTGCACTGGCACAGGGGACTGAACTGATGTCTGTTGTAACGGTGGTGGTGAGAGTGGAGTAGGTGGTGACGGTTGTGGTGCTGGTGGTTGAGTGGGTGACTGTGCTAAAGGAGGCTGCACTGGGGACACTGGGGACTGCACTGGGGAAAGCAGGGCTGCAGGTGACTGCACTGGGGACGCTGGAGACTGCACTGGGGACACTGGAGACTGCACTGGGGACACTGGAGACTGCGCTGGGGACACTGGAGACTGCGCTGGGGACACTGGAGACTGCAGTGATGGTTGTAAAGTTGGAAACCGAGCTGATGATAAGGCCGATGATTCCTCTACCAACTGAGCTATTGACTGGGCTAAGGATTGAAATAAGGTTTGTAGTAAGTCAGGCTGTGGATGTGACTGTGCTATGGGAAGCGAGGCTGAATGTGGTGGAGGTGGCGACTGAGCTTCGGGCCGGGCGGCTAACAGAGATTCATGGCGAGTCACTCCTGGCAACTCTGTAGGCCTTAAGCTGTCCATGTTAGGAGTAGCAGTCTCTAAAACAGTCACAGCACAGGAAGATCCAGGTTTAGCAGAGTCAGTAACACCGAGCACAAAGGGATCCGTTGCGGACACAGGAGCATTCACACAAACGGTTTCTAAATATATAGGTTGGAGAGCAGCATAGTCCAGGAGTGAAGAAACATCATTCACAGTCTTATACTCAGCAGGTACAGGGACCTCAGAACTGTTAACTTCACGGTGTTGTTCATGAGTATGCAGCTCGACAATAGTCTTTTGCTTCTCTAAGGTGAGATTATCAGTCTGTGTGTTAATTGCTGCTGACCTGGGAGGAGCACAGGAAAAATAGTCACACTGAAACATGGGCGTGAGGGTAGGCAATGCAGGTTCAGGATTAACCGACCCAGAATTACCAGACACGGAGTTAATGGCCTCTGGGATGACGCGCATGGAGCTTACAGTGCCAGGAGTCTTTAATTCAGCATGAACAGCAGTCTTTGGGGGGGTAATAAACTCAGTCTCGTGCTTAAAAGGTGCGGAGGTGAACTTAGAAACATTATGAGCCCTGGAAACACAGTCATATTCAAACTCGCTATTCATTTCTGATGTGTTACGGACCTGAAAAACAGCGGACTCAGGAGCAGAATATTGTCCGAGTTGGTCCGACTTGGAAGTGGTATGGAAGAAACAGTCAGTGTCACTCACCACCGGAGTTTGCTCAGAAACGTTAGGGCGGCGGCGGCGTGAGCGCCGTTTTCGCCGAGAGGGGGAGGAGATGAGCCGGGCCGCGAATCCTCCAGCGGACCGGACTGAACGTCCTCCGACCCCTCACACTGGAGAGGCAGCTCCGGGCGGACGCCTACGGTGGAAACAAGGAAGTCCCGGATGTGGGGGTGCAGCGCGCCGAACAGCCACGGGAGTCCGGACACCATCCGCTGTAGACGGGCGGCTACGACCTCCCGGTGTTCGTCTCCTGGCAGCGCCTCCCACTCCTGACAGTGGTACTCCACCGTATAGATCAAATCCTCCCGGAGCTCAGCGGAGGGGTTGTGAGTTGCTGGGTCCATTACTGGTGACGTCGTACTGTCAAGGCTCGGCTGTGTGGCAGGCAGGAGGAGGACCCAAACGCAAAACTCACAGACACGGGGATGAACTCAAAATCACAGCTTTAATGCTGGAATGGCAGAACATAGGAAATACAAAACTAAACTGGGAAAAGTAAACTAACATACGCAGAGAGACACAGGGAGATCCACACAACATGAGGGACGACGTCACGCTGAACAGAGGGAGACGCAGACAGAAATACACAGAGGGTTAACGAGGGAAGTGGGAACACACGGGGAACACAGGTGACACTGATAATCATAACGAGACAGGGCGGGGTGAACTGAACACTGACGGGAGAGGTGAAACAGGAAGTACAGGAGGAGAGAGAGCACGAGTAGAACCCCAACGTAACAGGCAGGGGAGACATGGAATAAACACGAAAGGGGACGAGGGCTCATAAAATACATAGAGGGTACACAGGGGGAAGAGAGAGCACGGGGAGAACTTAGACATAATGGGCAGGGGAAGCATGGAATAAAATACAAACATACAAGGAAACTAAGAACGCTGGGTCAACATGGCCCAGGACCATGACAAAAGGGACCCCTTCCCTCTAAGATGTGAAAAACTTTAAGGTGAAATCTTCTAAGGTAGCTGGAGAGGAAAGTTTTAGACGGCTTGGCTAATATAAAATTTTGGAGATGAAGATATTTTAAATAATGGTTTTCATTACTGCCGTTGTAGTTGTTTGAATTACTCACCTCAAAGTTGAAATATTTTGACCTTAGTACCCACTTACTGTTACTATAGGTTATTTCTTTACTATAGGTTAGTTGTCACTACAAGTCACTGAATTCCATTGACATCCAGGCGCCCTGCTCACTATAGCAATACTGTTCTCCCCTGTGTCGACGCCCGTTAACATGCTAACAGTGATAATGCTAACAGGCTGATGTTTAGCAAGTGAAACGTTTAATATGTTAAGCTGCATCTAAACTGGAAGCGACCTGCTTTTCACACGAAGTGAAGCTACCAAACAATCTTTTGCAGGCATTATAGATTCTGGTTGCCTAGGCACCCTGTAATGTATTTACTATCAGCCATATGTCAGTCAACAGTATTATTCAGTATATTGGTAGTCACTTCACCAGGTAGCTAAGAAAAGTTCATTTCATGCCTCACATGCTTCATGCTGCTGGGGTGTGAAGTTGCAGAACGTTCATTAATGTCCATCCGTTTTATTCCCTCCCAGTATGGACAAAGCCTTAATTGTTTTAGCTTAGCGCATTAGCATGCTAAATTCTGCTCAGTTTAAATTTTGACCTGATGCTGTTACTATATGAAAGACAAGTGATTAGAATTGATGAGGGCTCACCAAGTCATTCAAATCCATCCAGAAAATTTTCACAAAAATTGAAGGTGATATTTTACCTTAGAATAAAAAAGCAGACCTAAATAGTGAGATTAGCATCTACGTTGCCACTTTGAATCTCCAGGGAAAAGGTATTACACTGGTGGACCCTGGACTCAGCTTCACTGTCACTAAAATACAGCACCTTGCAGCTTGTAAAGAGTTTTTATGTGGTCATTTCCTCTGGATTAAATTGCTACTCTGCAGCAACATTAGATGTCAAGTGTAGTTAGGGCTTCTCTGTATAGGTAACCCCCCACATCGCAGATGTTCTTCATGCCTTTTGCTCTTGTAAGTCATCTCTCTTTTCATCTGACAACTCAGGGTCAATTAGCCTGATCAATGAAGGACAAAGTGAAAAAGGGATCAATGAGCTGAATATTTAGTCGGATTTGTTAACGTGTAAACCCTCGGGACATTCTGTTGAACAGCCGTGCAGCCTGCATCGTGCGTCTGATCCTGAGATGAGGAGAGGACCAGTTTAGTGCTCTCTGTTTAACTAAGAGTTTTCCATTTGGCTTGACAATTATCATCTGTGTCATAGGCTTAACCTTGTGAATAGTGGCTGGGGCTCTCAGGCAGCAGCAATGTAAAAATGTGTTCTGGCATATATCAGTAGGAGCAGGTCTGCACATCCCCATCCATTCGTTCAACCTTTATTTGAAGGTTAACTCAATAATTACATTGACTGTGGTCAGCAGGTGGTCAATTTTATGCTAACAGCACCTTAACAACTTTACCCTGTGTGTGACAGGAGCATGTGTGAAGCTGCTAATGCATTAATTGCATCCATTTCCAAACACTGAGTAGTATCTCATATCTGACTCTCAAGCACCATATCTTGTATGACGCACACAAAGACACACAGAGCTGAAGGCCAGAAGACTCCAAGATAAGGTTGCAAGCATAAAAGCATGTTTCCCCACGGTACCATCCACCTCTCACCCACCTCTCCGCCGCTTGTTTAAACTCTCCGTCTCCTCTCTGTCCTCCTCTAGTTTCATGTGAAGGGTTTGTAAAGATCCAGGCTGTGCTGGTGTGAGATCTGCTTATGCTCATGCTGGGGTTTTTTTTTTGTGTGTGGTGCAGTTGGTGTCTGCTGCTGTCTCAGCCCAGTGTTCCTGTCCATCTGGACCTGGGAGGTGGGGGGTGGAGGGTGGGATGGAGCAGTTGCCATAGTTTCAGAAAATAGCAGGAGTAGTTTGAAAACAAAGGCAAAAATTAACTGTGAAACATGCACACACAAAATGAAATGAATCGGGATAAGGTGATGAACTAATTGTTATCAAACTTCTCCAGGACCAGAGCTTTATTATACTCAGGATATAGAAACCGATGTGAACCCCTACCACAATAACAAGCCATATTTCTGAACAAGCTCAAAAGGTGCGCCTGCTACTGTGCTCATGTGATGTTTTATTTATGCTCTCCCCAAATTTCGTAATATCTCATAAGAAAGAGTATGTTTCTATTTTCTGTACCTGATCTCTCTTTTTGTCCTTTTCTTTGTGTTTCTACCAGAAGGATTTGCCACTGCCTCGCAAAAACAGCAGGTGAGTGTTACCTTTGTTTAACCCTTCCTTTCTTCTCTCTATCCTCTCTCTCTACCACCCATCCACTCCCTGGGGAAAGCACAATCTTCTTCATGGACAAAAAAACAATCATACCAAGCTGTGGTACATCTTGTTTATCAAAGCCTCTCTTCCCGAGCGTACATGAGGCTGGGAAGCTCTCTGGGATCACAAGCATGCTTTTCACATTCTGTCTGAAAGCTATGAGGATGCTTCAGTAGTGCTTAGGGTGTGGAGTGTGGATTTCTTGTGTGAAAGAGGAGGATGAGGTCTCCTGAAGTAATGCTGGAGTGTGTGGAAGCCTTATTAGGCCAGTTGGGAGCTCCCGGCGCTGTCCATGGTGCTGAAAGCCATGCCGCATTCTCCAACTTATTCCAAATTGTCAAATTTTTGCTATCTGCATAAAGTAGGTACATTTATTAAGTATTTGGTTGAAATATTATACTGTTTAATGGACTACAGTTAAAGAGCCAAAGATTTTCATTCAAGGGTGGTTTACCAGTGACGAGTGACCTGTTTGAGAAAACGGTCACTGGAGACACAAATTACTTTTGGGCTTGCGTCAGGAAGGGTATCCGATGTAAAGGTCTGGCAAATCAAATATGCAGGGCTACCTGCTGTGGCAAACCCCTGTGAGAAGGGAGCAGCTCAAAGTTGTTATGTGACAGAAACATAAAAAAAAAAAATAGTTAATACAAGTTTAAGCATTGTGCTGATGATTTTTTTTCCGGACAGGTCCTGTCACGGCGGGGTGCGCCGATGTGTGCGGAAACAGGACCCAAAAGCAGATGATGACGAGGAATAGTAATGATTAACAGAAAAGTGAACCTTTATTGCGATGACGGCAGGAAATGAACCAAGAGACCAAAGCAAACAGGCAAAACACTAAGAAACAAAACACTGAGCTGGCAAAACACTAAGAAACAAAACACTAAAGGTACTAAGACCAAAAACTATAACTATGACCGAGGTGGAAAATAAACAGGCTAAGACTATGACTGTAACTCTGGTGAGAATAAACAGACGAACTGACAATGGCATGAAGAAAACAAAAGGCTTAAATACAGACATGAGGTGATCAGGGGAAGTGGCGACACATGGGGGAAAACAGCTGACAGACATAAACCTAATGACAGGACCAGGAGAGGAAAGCTAAATACAATGAACAAAGAACACATGACATTGTCAGAATAAAACAGGAAATGACAACACAACTTAACAGACCTAATACGTGATGAAATAAATAGAAAACCCCAAAACATAGAAAACCCAGGAACAATAACTGCCTAAACTAAAGGCAAATAGGAAATAACACAAACTAATAACATATCAAAAAAATACAAAGAAAACTCAGAGTGCTGGGTCGGAGACCCAGCCTGTGACAGAGCCCCCCCCTTAAGGGCGGATTCCAGACGCCCTAAAACCTCGAAAAACAAAACCAAAAACAACCCACCAAGGGCGGGCGGTGGGGGTCCAGGACGGAGGGCCAGAAACAAGGCCAAAAAAACAAAAAAACAAAATGTCCATCAAAATCACAGGAGCGCAGGGAACAGTTCATGACTCCTCAGGGGGCCGACCCGGAGGGTGACGGTCCAGAAAGTCATAGTTCATGTGATCAGGGGGCCGTCCGTGCGGACGGCAACGGCGGCGACACGGAAACGGTTCAGGGGGCCGACCTCGACGGCGGCGACGTGGAAACGGTTCAGGGGGCCGACCTCGACGGCGGTGACGTGGAAACAGTTCAGGGGGCCGGCAGTGCGGAAGGCGACGGGGCGGGAACCGTTCAGGGGGCCGGCCGTGCGGAAGGCGGCGGCGGCGCCCAAGTGTCAGGCGTACCGGCCGAGGCTTGGAGGGCACAGGACCAGGTGACGCTGAAGCAGAGGCTGAGGCCGGACCAGGCGTAGCAGAAGCAGAGGCTGAGGCCGGACCAGGCGTAGCAGAAGCACAGGCAGAGGCCGGACCAGGCGTAGCAGAAGCACAGGCAGAGGCCGGACCAGGCGTAGCAGAAGCACAGGCAGAGGCCGGACCAGGCGTAGCAGAAGCACAGGCAGAGGCCGGACCAGGCGAGGCTGAAGACTCTGACGAGGCTGGAACAGACGAGGCTGAAGACTCTGACGAGGCCGGAACAGACGAGGCCGAAGACTCTGACGAGGCCGGACCAGACGAGGCCGAAGACTCTGAGGCTGGGCCAGACGAGGACGAGGACGAAGACTCTGAGGCTGAAGCCGGAGCCGGACCAGGTGGAGCAGGAGCAGCTGATGCAGAGGCCAGACCGGGCGAGGATGAAGGCTCTGAGGCTGCAGCTGACGAAGCACAGGCTGGAGCTGCGGCTGACGAAGCACAGGCTGGAGCTGCGGCTGACGAAGCACAGGCTGAAGCTGGACCGGGCGAAGCACAGACCGGAGCTGGTCCTGGCGTAGCAGAGGCAGAACCAGGTGACAGTGAGGCAGCCACAGGTGGTGAAGCAGAAGGTGGCCAGACGGGCTCCTCAGGCCCTCCAGCTGACGAAGCATGAGGCTGAACGGGCTCCTCGGGCCCGCCAGCTGACGTGGCGTGAGGCTGGACGGGCTCCTCGGGCCCGCCAGCTGACGTGGCGTGAGGCTGGACGGGCTCCTCGGGCCCGCCAGCTGACGTGGCGTGGTGCTGGACGGGCTCCTCGGGCCCCCCAGCAGACGTGGCATGAGGCTGGACGGGCTCCTCGGGCCCGCCAGCTGACGTGGCGTGAGGCTGGACGGGCTCCTCGGGCCCCCCAGCAGACGTGGCGTGGTGCTGGACAGGCTCCTCGGGCCCCCCAGCAGACGTGGCTTGAGGCCGGAAGGGCTCCTCGGGCCCCCCAGCTGACGTGGCATGAGGCCGGAAGGGCTCCCCGGGCCCTCCAGCTGACGAGGCATGAGGCTGGTGTGGTTCTCCTGAACCTTCAGCAGACGAAGCATGAAGCTGGCTGGATTCTCCTGAACCTCCAGCAGACGAAGCATGAAGCTGGCTGGATTCTCCTGAACCTCCAGCAGACGAAGCATGAAGCTGGCTGGATTCTTCTGAACCTCCAGCAGACGAAGCATGAAACTGGCTGGATTCTCCTGAACCTCCAGCAAACGAAACATGAGGCTGGCTGGGTTCTCCTGAACCTCCAGCAGACGAAACATGAGGCTGGCTGGGTTCTCCTGAACCTCCAGCAAATGAAGCATGAAGCTGGCTGGGTTCTCCTGAACCTCCAGCAGACGAAACATGAGGCCGGATGGGCTCCCCGGGCCCTCCGGCTGACACTGAAATTGGCTGCACCAGCTGTACCTCCGTCTCCGGCTCCAAACCGGCCTGGATAGCAGTACCACAGCAGCTTAGCTGAGCCTGATGGCTAGCTTTTCCAGGGCAAACAGTCTCTGTATAGCCGGGCTCATTAACCGGAAAAGTAGTGTCAATTTCAACAACTTCCTGAGAGAAAACATGAGGAGCCAAAATGTAATCACTCACTTGCGTTTGTGATACGGAGCGTCGGTGGCGCGCACGCCGCTTTTTCTTAGGAGTGGAAGACGGCGGAGCGATGGGTGGAAGTCCCTGGTAACTCCGAGGTCCCCCGAGAGCCAGTCGAGTTCCCCGGAAAGAGTGCTCGTGCTCCGGAATGAGCCACGGCTTCCACCGGAGCTCCTCCTCCAAGAGAGCGCAGAATATAGACGTCCAAGTCTATGGTGTGCGGCGCTTCCTCGCGCTGAACTGTGACAGGAGTATGGCGAGACTGTGATGAGGGCGTGGAAACTGGTGAGCTGAGAGGTGGTGACGCTGCGGCGAATCTCAGCGAACCGACACGAACACACTCAGGTTCCGGAGGCAGCAATGGAGATGACTGATTGTGGGGTTGTTGTGACTGGTGGGTGCTGGAAGCCATTTCCTGACTCGACAGTCCCTGGGCCTGCAGCATCTCCTTTATCCTCGTAAAGGCATCAACTATGGCAGGTGAGTCCGGGAGCTGGAGAAGGCGGGGATCCCTCTCCATAATAGCTTCAGCAGCGTTAATCATTACCAGCTTGCTCTTCAAATCGGGCGCTGTAAAGAAGCGGTCGAGGATCGCTTGGATCCGAGCAGTCTCCTCCAGACACTCGGTGAGAGCAGAATCCGCTGGGTCCATGACTGGTCAGTTCGTTCTGTCACGGCGGGGTGCGCCGATGTGTGCGGAAACAGGACCCAAAAGCAGATGATGACGAGGAATAGTAATGATTAACAGAAAAGTGAACCTTTATTGCGATGACGGCAGGAAATGAACCAAGAGACCAAAGCAAACAGGCAAAACACTAAGAAACAAAACACTGAGCTGGCAAAACACTAAGAAACAAAACACTAAAGGTACTAAGACCAAAAACTATAACTATGACCGAGGTGGAAAATAAACAGGCTAAGACTATGACTATGACTATGACTGTAACTCTGGTGAGAATAAACAGACGAACTGACAATGGCATGAAGAAAACAAAAGGCTTAAATACAGACATGAGGTGATCAGGGGAAGTGGCGACACATGGGGGAAAACAGCTGACAGACATAAACCTAATGACAGGACCAGGAGAGGAAAGCTAAATACAATGAACAAAGAACACATGACATTGTCAGAATAAAACAGGAAATGACAACACAACTTAACAGACCTAATACGTGATGAAATAAATAGAAAACCCCAAAACATAGAAAACCCAGGAACAATAACTGCCTAAACTAAAGGCAAATAGGAAATAACACAAACTAATAACATATCAAAAAATACAGCCTGTGACAGGTCCAGACTACCCTTTCCTTGTGAGAAGTGTGGAGTAGTCTCCACACTTTTTGAAGGTTCAAAGTTTTTCTTGATTCATTGGCTTCTTTTTCACACACTGTCAGTCCAGTTCTTGTATCTGACCATTTTTAGGAGATTTTAGAAGAAGTTTGTTAAGTCACTAATAAACATCACAGACAATTTAGCAGATAATCTATTTTAAAGCCATTTTGTCACAACT